CCACTACAGACTTTCTTATTAGGACAGATTCAAGATGGTTCCCTGTCCCTTAAGCCTCCTACTAACCTCAAAGAGGAGCCCCACCTCCTCAGAGCTCCTCAGAGCGGAGGGCTGGCCTGTGCTATTTCTGTCCTTTCTGGGATTCTGAGAACAGATTCTTGTTTGCAGTCTGATTCAGATGTGAAACTTTTCCCTTGGCCTCTCACCCAGTTGCTGTGGGCTAGGTCTCTTTCTCATCACTCCCTTCTTCTTCCAGCCAGGCTCCTCCTGTTCTCCTCCCCAAAGTTCTCTGGTGGGTCACTCGATTCTGCTTAGACCCGAAGGAGTAAGTCAGGGGCCCAAGAGGGATTCATTCCTGTCTGATGCCCTGAGGCCCTGGGAGCAGCATATTGATGCTCGGAAGTAGGAAACGTGGATTCCCATGGCAAACCCTGTTCCCGTGCAGAGGAGCCACCTCCAGGGCCCCATCCTCTGGTAGGCACCAGGAAGGGAGAGGGAAAGAGGATGGCAGGTTACTGTGTGTCCACCAGTTGTAATTTGGTGGAGGGGAGGGATCATGACCTGATATTTCCCACATCTTGTGGTTAAGTATGTGTGTACTTCTCCACCTTAACCTTCCATCTTGTCCTTTACTTTATTCTTTCTTATCCATCTCCCTTTTCTTCTTATCACTTCTTGACTACAATAGACGATGTAGCAGAGTTTCCCCCTTTCTCTCCTTCCTGACCCCCAGGATCTCTAAGACCCCAACTTCCTCTGAAATGTCAACTGGTCTTAAGAACCCAAAAAGGAAATAGGATTCTTGTCACAACTTTCAGTCCCTTGGCTTAAGGCTGCCCTGGGATCAGGCCCCCTACTTACAGCGATCTTTTTGGAAGTGTGAGTTCTGGAAGTGGTGGCAGGGGTATTTGGAAATGGCTAGATCATCAGCCATATGGTAATCCAGAACAGCAACAACAACAATGAAACTGGTGGGGACTGAGGTAGCTGAACTTTTTCTGGGGTGTTGGGATTATTACTGCCTGGAATCTTCTCTTCTAGCTGGCTGCCCAGAGCTGGAAGTCACAGGGGCATTCCAAGGTCAAGATCTGAGGCTTTGCCCATGGGGCCAGGACTGAAGTTAATGGAGAAAGAAGTGATGGTGGTGAGACAGGGCTGGGGTGGATGTGGAAGGAGTTGAGGGGGAAGCTTCCAGTTTTCCTTATCCTGTTTTGCAGGTTAAGGGACTGTTCCCTGCCTGACTTTCTGAGGATCTAATCAGAGGGGTTGGATTCAAACTGATGTGGGAATAGGGAGTAGGATTTTCTGCAGAAGAATGTTGAAGTGAGAACTTTGGGTGCGGTCAAGGGAGATCTTAATTCTGAAGACTTTAGAATTGAAGAGGCTCCTGCTAGACCAGAAAGTGCTGTGTGGGGATATATAACTTCAGGAAGGTGAAGTTCAGCACTTGGATCCTTCCGACTGCCTGAGGCCAGGTTCCCTTTCTTGGACTCCCCATTTGTCAATCTCAATAAAGAATAAATATATTATTTAATCTTTCTTTCCCTCTCTCCTCGTGGTATCTGGATTGTGTTGGGTTCAGGTTTCAACAGGAGCTATTAAAGAGCTCCTGGACAAGATCTGGAGGTGGGAGCAGGAGGAGCTTGGAGGGAGTGTTGTGTTGGAAGCCAGCCCACAGTCCCACTCTTCTCCCCAGGCTCTCCATTAGAGAGGAACCCCGGCTCAGAGTTCTCAACTGTGAGCTTTGGCAGATAGCTCCTCACCTAATTAACTTGCTTTCTTTCCCATTTATTTGTTTAATGAACATTCACTGAGCACGTATTGTGTGCTCTGCACACAGCAACCAGGACAAACGAGTCATTGTCAGTGCCATCAAGACACTCACAGTCTATGATGCATCGATGGACACCAACACTTCATGATGGGTGGATGACTGAGATTGAAGAAGCTGTGATGAATTGCAACCTGCCTCTCTCCAAGCTAATTACATGACTGAGCTCTCTCTGCCCAACACCTTTGGTGTTCCGGGCACAGTTAAAGCTCCAGTAGTGAGTTGTAGGCTTGCTGACCTGGCTGACATTGACAAGTTGTGTGACCTTGTCACTCCACCTCCCTCATCAGGTGATTGTGAAGCTCTAGTGAGATTTGCAATTGTACAGGAGAGATCAGGACCATTTTCATTTCCCCATTTCCTCAGTTAGGGGACTTCCTAATTACCAGTCTCCGTCCCGGCTAGACTCACTCTTCTGGATTTGGGATAGAGAAGGCAGGTGCCGCTGGATTTGAAGGGAGTGAGCTATGAGCTGAGTAGGGCCAGCATGATGCTGGTCAGTTAATTCCGATTCAGATCAATTTATACAGACCCACTATATGTGCCAGGCATTTTGCATACAGTATTTCACTGAATCCTCTTATTAACAGCCCTTCACAGGTGGGTTCTTTTTTTTTTTTTATCATCCTCTCAATTTTACAGATGAAGGATTGAGGCTCTAAAAGGGACTCAAATATCAACGTGCATGAGAATCATCTGGGATGTTTGTTAAATGCGGATCCTTCTGGAACATACCCTCAGATATTCTGATTCGTAAGTGTGTAGTGAGACCTAGAATCTAAAATTTCACAAGTATCTCAGGTGATTCTGATGCTTAGTAGTCTATAGGCCACATTTTGATAGATACTGATGAAGAATTAGTGACTTGTCCTGACTAGTATGGCTCAGTGGGCTGGGCACGTCCCCTCCAACCAGAAGGTTGCAGGTTTAATTCCCTGTCAGGGCACCTGCCTGGATCTCAGGTGGGAGTGTGCAGAGGTGTGTGAGAGGTGATCAATAAATGTTTCTCTCCCTTCCTTACCCTCTCTCTAAAAAGAAAAAAAAAATCTTAAAAAAAAAGAGAACTAATGACTTGCTCAAGGGCTCAGAGCCAGGAAGTGATAGGTTTGAATCCAAAATTGCTGCCTCCCAGACCTGGAGCCTTGGTTTGTGCTTTGGAAATATGGATAGCAATTTCTTCCCGCCTCCCTCTCTCCTCCCAGGCCCATTGTGAGAATAAAATGAGATAATGTAAGAGAGAGCACTTAAAAAATGTAGAGTTGGCAGCATTGTTAGTGATTATGCGAATGCATGCAAATGAGCACCCGTGGGCTTGACTGTTCACTTAGAGAGCTGGGATATGTGTTTCAAGAGGTTGGCCGAGGAAAAACTTTGGTAACAGGGCATTGACCCCTAGAGGCAGAGTTTTTGGTTGTAAAAAGGGCTGACCAAAGTGAAAGATTAGGGCTAGTACAGGAATCTGGGAGTAGGTGGGATAAAACGTCTTTCTTCCTAGGTTATGTGTCTCTGGGTTTGACGGCTCCTGGCTGCAGGGACTGACCAGGAGAGAGAAGCCTGGGCCCCAAAGGCAGAGTGCACCTCTTTGTTCTGCGAGGACTGGTGTGGCTCTCTGGGAGATGCTCGCTCAGGCCCTCCTTTCTAGCTCATTGGCCGGAAAGTCCTTTTCTGTTGTCTAGCCTCTATTCTCCCTATCTACCTATGGAAGCCCCAGCAGGCTCTGTGCTTTACTGATCCCACTGTCTGCACAGGGAGCAGGCATAGCAGGAAGGCAGGAAGTGGGGTTTGAAGACAGCCCACTGAGGAGGCTGCAGGGTCGCCCTCCTATTTCCCCCCTTTCCCTTCTGCCCCACGTGCATTCAGACATGTCTTCGGCCAGAACTGCTGGTACTTGAGGTGAGAGTTGGCATGTGATGCTTCCTGGAGCCGGCTATTTTGGGTACCCCTATTCCAAAGCTGCTGAGACCCTGGGATTCTAGAGCTGCATTCTGTTCAGGAATGCCATTGTTCTTCTCCCCCGGCATCCCTGGGAACTGATGCTAATTTCAGCCTCTGGTCCCTGACTCATTCACTTCTCCTCCCTGATTCAGAGGGTGACCTTGGGTTTCTGCAGCCCCTCTCAGTGGGAAATTGTGATGGCCACCATCTGACCCCCGTCTAGGTGTGGTGGGGGCATGGCATGGCTGGGGGAAAGAGCGAGAGGGGAATGTTAATTGCTTTCTTTAAAATCACCATCTAAAGTCAGAATGCTTTGTTTGCTTTGTGACTGCCTGGGCTGGACTCACCAGGCTTCTAAGAAGCCTCCCAGTTAATCACCAATCTCCAGAATTCATGAGTGCGAACTATGAGGGATTGTCTCTTCAGGCTACACATTCAATAAGTGAGGCCCCTGCCCTGTCCGCCTCCCCTGCTCCCCACCACCTTTGGCTCTGGGGGAAAAGCTGCTGCAGGGCTGAGGTAGGGGATCGGTACAGTCACCCTTTGCCAAAGGTTCTCTCTGGTACTGGGCAGGCAGGGGTTAATCCAGCTTTGTCCTGGTTGATGGATTCTGGAATCATAATCCATTAGCTCTGCCTGGATGGAGTGAGGCCAGGCGAAGGCATTCAGATTGCTCTTTGTTCTGCGTCTTTGCCATCTCTGCCAGGGACAGAGGGGATGTGGACCTGCACCTCCCTCCCCACCGTGACTGAGACATGATGAAAGAATCTTCGGTACTGATTTTGATTGCTGTTGATGCCAGAGTCCTCTCTCATTGGGGAAATAAGCAGTTTCCACTCTTGGTTATTCACACCATGAAACAGACCATCCCCAAAACATCACCCCAGGGACTTGTACCTGCCTAATTCTGCTGAGCCCGGGCAGTCTAGACAAGAATGTTCAGGAAGCACTGACTAAAGGGGAGAGTTAAGAGGTCATAGGTGGATGGGGGCAGTGGAGTTAGGAAAAGCCTGGGATTAAACTTGGCCAGGGGATAGATACATTTAATATAAGCAGTGACAATAGCCTGAGGTGAAAAACATTGGCTGCTATTAGGCTTGCTGTTAGAATGATTAATGATTTATGGAAGACTGAAGCTATTTCTTTAAAGCGCACTCTGTGAGAAGGTATCCTGTCCTTATGACAAGGTAGCAGTGCCTAAACAGATGTCTCTGTCCCTCACACCCCTTCCCAGGCTACGCTGCATGGTGAAGCAGTTGGAGAATGGGGAGGTCAACATCGAGGAGCTTAAGAAAAACCTGGAGTACACAGCTTCCCTGCTGGAGGCCGTCTATATAGATGAGACTCGGTGAGAGGGGTGACAGCGGTGATGCTGGGCAGCAGGGAAAGACCTACCCACAGAGGGGAAAGATACCAGATAGACACAGTGACCCAGGGACTGGGATTCACACAGAAAGTCAGAGATTGAGACGTGCGATGGGCCAGAACAGGAAGGAGGGGTGGGGTGGGCAGAGAGAAAGAGGTGTGGGTAGGAATATTAGCAGAGAAAACGAGGTAGAGGGACAGTCACAGTTGTAAAGACAAAGGCAAACACTGGTGTCAAGGAAGAGAGAGAAGACTGTTACCTTAAAGCTCACCTAGTCCCCACCTTCTTCCCAGTGTGGGGTCCCTGTAGACCTGCACTGCCCTGCATGCGAGCTGCTGGTGCCATGTGGCTGTCAGGGCTTGAAAGGTGGCAGCTGAGAATTGAAACTAGTACATATTTAGATGTTTTTGCTGGATTTCCAAACCTTAGAAAAAAAGAATGTAAAATATCTCATAGATATATTTTATATAGCTTCCACATTAAAATAATATTTTGAGTGTATTAGGTTAAAGAAAATTTATCCATGAGATGAATTTCTCCCGTTTCTTTTTTACCTTTTCAATGTGGCTGCTGGAAAATTTAAAGTTATTTGTATGTGGCCTGCATTTTATTTCTGCTGGTCTCTAGCCTCCCTGACAGGTGGTGTTCCTGTGTCTGCCTGAACACTGGCAGTGCTGGGTGCTCACTGCCTCGTGCGGTGACCTGTTTTATGACTGGGCACATGAGGCAGAGAAACAGGAATAAAAAGACACAGAGAGAGAAAGGCTCAGGGGGGTCCGAGAAGGGAAAGAGCTGGCCTGAGAGTTCCTGAGGCGTGGCGGGCGGCTGGGCCCAGGGGCTGGAGGTTGTGGAAGCACTTGCCGTCTTTCCTCTGTGCCACCCCTTCTGGGGCCTCAGGCAAATCTTGGACACAGAGGACGAGCTTCAGGAGCTTCGGTCAGATGCTGTGCCTTCAGAGGTGCGGGACTGGCTGGCCTCCACCTTCACCCAGCAGGCCCGAGCCAAAGGCCGCCGAGCAGAGGAGAAGCCCAAGTTCCGCAGCATCGTGCACGCTGTGCAGGCTGGGATCTTCGTGGAACGGTGAGCCTCTTCCACGCCTCACTCTGCCTCTCGTCCCATCCCCCTTCCCAGCTGCCCTGGTCTTCCAGGCCCCACCAGTGGCATTGGCCCCACTTGCCCACCTGGTCAGATCCTACTCTGCAGACTTTCCTACCTGGGCTTCTTTTTACTATTTTCCCTTAGGATGTTCCGGAGAACGTACACCTCTGTGGGTCCCACCCATTCCACTGCGGTCCTCAACTGCCTCAAGGTGATTCCTGGGTTTACAGGGAAAAAGGAAAAAGGGTGGGGAAGGAAAATGTCCATTGAGAATTTTGGACCCTGTTTATGGGGTGATTTTTGCCTTCCCTTTTAATTGCTGTTCTCATGTTCCTCAAAACAACTTTTGCCCACTCCAGAGGCAAACTCCTGCCTTTTCGTCTGTCTGATACTAAGCATATCCAGGAAAAAAAGAAGGCCACTTCACCACCTCTTTTTTACCTGCTTCCCAAGACTCTATAATCATTGGGAAGTCCTCCTTGAAGTCTAACTATAACCCTTGCTGCTGCTGGGATGCTCCCCTTACAGAATCTCTTTGCCTAGACTGTTGTTTCTTTACAGAACCTGGACCTCTGGTGCTTTGATGTCTTTTCCTTGAACCGGGCAGCAGATGACCATGCTCTGAAGACGATTGTTTTTGAGTTGCTGACTCGGCATAGCCTCATCAGCCGCTTTAAGGTTGGGCAGCATCCTGTCCCCGCCTTTGGGTGTGATTCTCCATGCCCAACACTCCTGTTCTAGAAGATTTCCAACAAGTAGATTCCACAGGCTCCCTCACTTAGTCTCACCATCAGCACGATCTCCTCATGCCCACCCCAGTCTCGCCTTCCTTTCACTTGCTGCAGTCCCAGCCTCTGATCTTATTTTGCTTCCTAGGCAAAGATTCTAGGTCTGCAACCATCTAGCCTAGGATTCTGGCCTCTCCCCCTTTGCGTTTTCCCCTAACTTGACCTCTCCAGCCTGGCCCGATGTGCACCTCCCTGTTTCAGCTGCCTCCTGCCTGTGGGCACCGGAGGCCTAGGGTCCAGATACTGTCAGCCCTTTGGGACTAGAGTCTGTCCGTGTTTGGGATGGGGGAAAAGGAGGTAAAACTGTCAATCCCCCCCTCCCCCAGCACTAGTGTCTGTCCAAGGAAATTTATGGAGAGGATCAGCTCTTGGCTGGGATGGTACAAGGGGAGGAAGGGTATGTGAACTCCATTTGCTCTTCAGCTTGGCTGGCCAGGAAGAATATAGGATTAAAGTCCTCTCCAGATCCTGTGCCAGGAGGGAATGTCTTTTGGGAATTCAGGCTGGAAAAAACCATTTCCATGTGGAAAAACCACAGTCGGAAGTAGATGGTGAGGGGGGTTGAAGAGACTCAGTGGGGACTTAGGCGGGGGTGGGCAGGCAGTAGGTGTTAGAGCAGAGGAAACCGTGTGTCCTGAGGGGTCCATGGCAGCTGGGGGGAAGCATCAAAGGAGTCTAGTTGGAGGGCCCCCAGAGGGCTTTGGAAGACTGGCCTGCCACCCATGCCTCCGTTTCACTGTAACAGACTACTGATGCACGTGAGCCTTTCCTCTGCCCCGACTCCTCCTTTCACAGTGACTCCCCAGGGGTTTCCACATCTTTCCCAAGATGCTCAGTTGGGATTTTCTCTGGGCAGGAAACAACAGGGTCCTCTTTTTTCTAAGACTTTTCCCAGCTCATGTTTCTTCAAACTGGTTGTCAGACATACTCCAGGCACTGGCTTCTCTTAAACTCCACTTCTTACCTGGAAGGACTAGTTTCTGGGGGACCCTAGGAGTAATTGCATCAGGTTAGGATTGGCCCAGCCCCAGTCCACCTTGCTCCAAGACAGAGAGAGAGGGTGTGTATTGCTTTAGTGTTCACTCATCATAGAGCCCCCAGTTGGAGCCATCCTTCTCAAACTCCACATTCCCTTCCTGGGCACCCAGTTCCTCTCCTATCCCTCCCCTCCCCTCCCCTCCCCTCCCCTCCCCTCCCCTCCCCTCCCCTCCCCTCCCCTCCCCTCCCCTCCCCTCCCCTCCCCTCCCCTCCCCTCCAGGGATGCCATGGCAACACAAAAGTGAGGGCAGTTGTCATGGAAACAGTCCTCTAAAATTCCTTGAATTTGGGGCACAGCCCTCCAGGGGTGGGGGTGGGGGATGTTAGGGTCTGACTGATGGTGGCACATCTTCTGTGTCTCATTGCTGTCGCTCATCTCTACAGAAGCTTCCCTGTGTCCTGAACCTTGCTCTCTTCCCAGCCTCAGGAGATCCAGGGACAGGTGCAGACACCAGCCCTGCCCTCCAGGAGCCTTGAGCCTTTGAAGGAGGCACACATACCCCAAGAACATATGCAGGACAGAGACAGAATTGAGTAGCTGGACAGAGCTCTGGCTCCTGGTGCTTGTGTGTGTGTGTGTGTGTGTGTGTGTGTGTGTGTGTGTGTGTGTGTGTTGGGGTGGGGAGGAGGCTTTTCAGAGTAGGAAGGGTCCTCTCTACATCATCTTAGCCTTTCCAAGCTTCCGAACCCTTCTCCATGATGTTGGATTGGGTTGGGGTGGGTTGGTTGGAAGGCAGGAGGAAAACTGTCTTTCTGTTTCTTAAAAATCTCTAGAGAAATAATAATAATTATAGCTGCTCTTTAGAGAGCACTTACTAAGTGCCTTGTACTTATCTCATTAAATTCAAGGTAGGAGGTGGTATCTTTATTCTGCAATTAAGTGTCTGAGGCACAGGGAGGCACGTGACTTCCCCAAGGTCACACAGCCCGCAGGTGGGGGAGCTGGGATGTGAGCCCAGGTTCACCTGACTGCTGAGCCAGTGCGCTCTCCTTGTGCCATGCTGCCTTCTAAAGAAAGATGGCGTTGCTGATCTCAGGCCTGGGCCTCCTGCCGTTCCTGCAGAGCCTCCAAGTATCTCTGTTTCCTCCCTCCTACTGCAGATTCCCACGGTGTTTTTGATGACTTTCCTGGATGCTTTGGAGACAGGCTATGGGAAGTACAAGAACCCTTACCACAACCAGATCCATGCAGCTGACGTCACCCAGACAGTTCATTGCTTTTTGCTTCGCACGGGGATGGTGGTGGGTGCCCTGGAGATAACTCTTCTGTGATTCAGGGTCTGTGGCTGCATAACTAGGACGTCTGAGACTATATGTACTCCAATTTCCCTTCTCTCTTTGGTTCCTCTCCTTTGGCATCCCACAGTCTTCAGAGTCAAATTGGACTTACTCTAGAGAATTCCTGGGTGGACCATCTTTTCACGGGATGTGCGCCAGGATGCAGTGGGAATGTTGCAGGTGGGGATGGAGGAGGGTCTTTGGCCATTCCAGGGGCTGAGAAACCTGGCTGCATTAGCCCAAGAGCTGGCCTTGAAGAATGTAAGGGATGCCCTGAGTGGCCTAGCCTGCGTGTGGAGGTCTTTGGGCAGTGACCCAAGGGCGCTGACCCCCTCTCACCCATTGTCTCTTTCCCCCAGCACTGCCTGTCAGAGATCGAGATCTTGGCCATCATCTTTGCAGCAGCCATCCACGACTATGAGCACACAGGCACTACCAACAGCTTCCACATCCAGACCAAGTGAGGGGCGGGCTGTGGCAGGGCAGGAGTGGAGGTGGGCAGGTTGCCAGAACTTCCACTTACAGCGTGCTGAGCACAACAGCCTTTGGCTCTGCAGGTCAGAATGTGCCATCCTATACAATGACCGCTCAGTGCTGGAGAATCACCACATCAGCGCTGTTTTCCGAATGATGCAGGATGACGAGATGAACATTTTCATCAACCTCACCAGGGATGAGTTTGTGTGAGCAGAAGCCAGGAGTGGGCATCCCTAAGAGACCCCCTCCCCCCAACCCTCTCTCTCTACCTCCTGGACCTCCTGCCAGCAGTACTGTGGGGCTGACCAGTGCTGTGCTTCCGTTTATTCAGAGAGCTACGGGCGCTGGTCATTGAGATGGTGTTGGCCACAGACATGTCCTGCCATTTCCAGCAAGTGAAATCCATGAAGACGGCCTTGCAGCAGCTGGAGAGGTGGCATCTGGTGGGGTGTGGCTGGGGCTAGGCCAGAGTGAGGGTGTGTGAATTGGGGGGCATACATGTGGGTACTTGGTGTGCCAAGTCTCTTCCTGGGTGTACAAGCCCTCCTGGCTCCAGATAGCAGAGTGTATCTGTGTGTGTGACGTGTGTGCATGTGGCCCTGGGTTTGTGTGTAGCCCAGGCAGCTGGGCTCCTGGGGAGCACAGTGGGCCCAGAGTTTTTGGTGGGCATTGCCCTTTCTGCTTCAGGACAGGTTTACTCTGGAATGTTGGGAAAAATCATTCATCCCGTGTGGAATCATTCCCTTCTCTGTGAACTGTGAAAATGATGTGCCTCCTTCCTCAACATCTTGCCACCAGTTCATACTTTAAGAAGGCTGTTGAAAGAGTCATGTGAGGTTAAACACAAAGGCACAGAACAAATGCCATAATTACCTCTAATGTTGCTTAAAAGTGAGAGTATCTAAATGTGTGTAATAGAGAATGGACCATGTGTGTGTCCTGAGCGTGTGTGTTAATGTGTCTGTGTGAGAGTGTGCAGTGTCAGAGCATATCATTGCTGGAAAATAATAATTATAATAATAATTATAGATAACATCTACTGAGCACTTATTATGTGTCAGACACTCTTCTAAGTGCTTCAGTGTTGTATGTCATATAATTTTCAGAACAATTCTACATGGCAGATTCTGCTATTGTTTCCACTTAGGATTGAGGAAAATGAAATATGGCACATTTAAGTAACTTGCCCTGCGTCACATAGCTAGAGTGTGACAGGTATAGTGGGGATTGGGCCTCTGATTCTCAGGGCCTGGGCTGCTTGCTGTGGATATGTGTGTGCATGCGTGTGTGGCCCCAGAGGGTGTTTGAAGTCACCTGAGAGGGATCTGAGAGAGGGCATGTGGTGGGAAATTAGAAATGGTCCAGGTTTCCTTTCCTTGAAGATCAGTCTCCCTTCTCTTCCTATCTGCCTGGACCAGGATCGACAAGTCCAAGGCCCTGTCTTTGCTGCTCCACGCTGCAGATATCAGCCACCCGACCAAGCAGTGGTCAGTTCACAGCCGCTGGACCAAGGCCCTCATGGAGGAATTCTTCCGCCAGGTAGCATGGCATCTTTGCCCAGCCCCTGCCCACGGGCCTTCTCTCCCCTTAGTTTTCCACACATCTACTCCAGATCTTCATTCAGCTCCCTGCAGCTTCTCCTTGACCCCCAAACCCATGGGCTAAAATGTTATCCTCCTAAAAGCTGAACAGTAGTGGACGACAGAGGCATCCTATTTGCATATCACTCATTTCCAGGTGACAGGCACAGAAATTCCTTTTCTCTCACAGCAACCCCCTACCACCCCCCGCTTTGCCCTGGACCTGGTATTCTGGGGTGTCCTCTCCAGCTTTCCCACCCATCTGCTCCCCAGGGCGACAAGGAGGCAGAGCTGGGTCTGCCCTTTTCTCCACTGTGCGACCGCACTTCCACTCTCGTGGCACAGTCCCAGATTGGTGAGTATCCTTCCCTGCAGTGAAGAAAGGATTGGGAAGGGAAGAGCACGCTGTCTGGGAGTATTCTCCCTGGGCCTTGGGCCCAGCACTTCCCCAAGTCTCCAGCCCTCAGAGCTATTCTTATATGGGCTAGGCTGCTGTGCTAGAGCAGGGGGCCCTGGAGTGGGAGTCCAGGGGGGTGCAGTGGTGGGGTGGAGTTCTTTGGGGTCACAAAGACATCACTACAAAGGATGCCTCCATTGGGGACTCTTCAGCCACAGGTTACTCTGTTTTATACGCAGACAAGGGTCAGTGCCATGCCAGCCATATCCACTACCCAGATCTCCAGGTAAAACATCTTCATAGTGTTACCCTCTTCACTGCAGGTTTTATCGACTTCATTGTGGAGCCCACATTTTCTGTGCTGACTGATGTGGCTGAGAAGAGTGTCCAGCCCCTGGCGGATGAGGACTCCAAGTCTAAAAATCAGCCCAGGTAAGGATGGCTGGCATAGCCAGGTCTCCTGGTTCTGGGGAGGGAAGTTGGACCCACAGAGAGGGGCTGACTCGCATGGAGGAGGTACAGCCATGGAGGGGTGGTGCAGAAGTGGGCCACTCTGAACATGGGAGCCCCCCTGCGGTGCATCACACATGGGGTGGAAGGAAGGGACCATGGGACCAGAAGTGTGTGACTCACACCTGTGTCTCTCTCCACCATATTTTTGTCTCTTCCATTAGCTCTGCCTTTATTACCTCTTTGCTAATCTTGTTTTTATTTTCATTCTAGTAAGAGGGAAGATGTGGAGAGGGAGGGGTGAAATCTGGGAGGAGAGGGATAGAGACTTGGAGGGTGCCTAGCAGAGGGAAAAGAGGAGGAAGAGGCTCCCTAAGCCCCCTTTTGGTCTTCCATCCCCTCCCCGCTGAGGGCTGTGAAGGCGGTTCTGGAGTGGGCTGGGTCTCACCTCCAGAGTTGTGTGTGTGTGTGTGTGTGTGTGTGTGTTGCGGGGGTGCTGCTTCTAGCTTCCAGTGGCGCCAGCCTTCTCTGGACGTAGAAGTAGGAGACCCCAACCCTGATGTGATCAGCTTCCGCTCCACTTGGACCAAATACATTCAGGAGAACAAGCAGAAATGGAAGGAGCAGGCAGCGAGTGGTGGGTACCATTGTGGGGCATGAAGCCTTGGGAGGAGGGTGGCTGATGGAGTGGTAGCAGGTCTATTTTCCGTAAGCTCCTGGAGTAGCCCTTGGATTCCTATATTTGGGAATGGAGCTGATCAGACTAAGGGTAGATCACAGACTGATTGATTGGCCTGGACTGTTCTAGAATGAGGGCTGGAGAAAGAACAGGGACAGCCATGTTTCACAACTCAGGAGGCCCTCTGCACATTGTGGTCTATAAAGGGCGCTCCTGTAGATTTGGGTCAGTTGGTGGCTCTGGCTGGGAAATCTCTTCCTTTGTGTGGGAGTCGAGGATTGCAAATTTTAGCAAGGCTGGAGAGGCTCTCCCCAAGTGGGTAGGGGTTGAATATAGCTCAGCCTGAAGGTAGGAGGATGCGTGAGAATTCCTTTTTCCCCACATACTCCTGGTTTGTGTGGAAAACTACTTCTTGGGCTGGTCCCAACTTCCTTCATACCCCTCTGCAGGCATCGCCAACCAGATGTCCATTGATGAGCTGTCTCCCTGTGAGGAGGAGGCTCCGCCCTCCCCTGCTGAAGATGAACACAACCAGAATGGGAATCTGGACTAGCCTGGGGCTGGCCCAAGTGAGTCCATCATGGTGGGGTGGGGAGGGTCTTGATGTTGGGGGGAAGTAGGGAGAGCTGGGTGCCCACCATGGCATTTTGAAGAGTCTTGTGTTCACTGGGTGTGAGGTTCTCCCGACCTCCTTCCAGGCAACAAAGTAGAGGAGTGAGCACATAAAACTGAGCCAGGGCATGAGTGGGAAGCAGGGAAATACTTCCAGCCCTTCTGTGCCAACCCCTGCAGTTGGAAAGCAGGTAGCTCGTTAGAGCAGGGTGGGTCCTGAGCAAGGTACAGCCATCTTGTGCAGCATCTCTGGTGAGGGTTCGGGAAAAGGAACTAGCCAGAATACGAGGCTCTGTGAGGTCAGTTGGCATGACTTCAATTGCAGCTCCTGTTTGTACCTTGGCTGGGCACCCTTCGGCAGGGCTTTTTATTTTTATTTTTATTTTTTTTGCACAACTGTATGTGGCATGACTAGGGATCTGGGTGGGACTTGGATGAAGTAAGTCAGGCTGGAGAAAAAGGCAAGGATCAAAACACTGAGACTTCCCTTTCTTTCTCCAGGTCCTTAGTGAGTCCAAAATGTTTGATGTCATCAGCACCATCCATCCGGACTGGCTCCCCCATCTGCTCCAAGGGAGCGTGGAGGTCGAGGAACACACAACCCACCCAAAGGCCAAATGCTAGAGATTGTGGGGTTGGGGGGAGGGCCCCTCCCCACCCGATACCCATTGGGTCGCACTTTAATCTCCTGGCAGTGAGACTGGGGAACTTCAGGCTCCCAATGGTCACTGTGCCCATGTCCCTGCCTCTGGACTCCCCCTATGGCCAGATGGCTGTGTTGGAAAGGGGAGCTTCCTGGAGGCTTCCCAGGGCCTGGGGGGAGGGTCAGAGATGCCAGCCCCTGGGCCCTCCCCCATCCTTTTTGCCTCCAAGTTTCTAAGCAATACATTTTGGGGGTTCCCTCAGCCCCCCACCCCAGATCTTAGCTGGAAGGTCTGGGTCCCCCATTTCCTCCCCGGGAGGGGCTGGAATAGTATTGAAAGCTGGGGGGTTTTAAAGCCCTATGTATGTGGAGGGAAGTGGGCTTCTTCAGGGCACAGTATCTTGCTAGGGACTGGGAATGAGGGGGACAGCCTCTTTACCCTAGACCTGTGCTGCTTCAGCCCCATCCCCGGCTCGACCCCTTGCAGTCTTGCCTCTCTCCCATTCTATAACGGCAGCTGGAGACAAGGACCAGGGGCTGAGAGGAGGTCTTTCCTGGGGTGCTCAAGAGCTTGGGACCAGTCTAGGCCCCTGGGGCTTGCTGTCTGCCATGGCTAATGCCTGAGCCCTTTGCCTCCTTCTCTCCCCTGGGGCTGGGAGTCTCCCATCCGACCAATGTCTGTAAAGTGCTTTGAGTCTGCCCAACAAAGCACCTTCAGGATGCACCTTATGAGCACAGGCAGAAGAGAATGGCTGGGTCAGGGTCAAGGGTGCACGGTGGGGGAGGATCCCTTTCCTTTCTCACCCTCCATCACTGGCCCAGCAGCAGGCACCAAGAGGTCCCTCCTGTAGGACAGGTGGGGGAGTGGCTGGTAGAAGGCAGATAGGGAGGGGCTCATGGCTGCTGCTGTCATGCATTTGAAGAGCCCAGCCAGGCCCCCTGCCCCTTCCTCTGCTCAGGCTCCTCTCCCCGCACCCGGTGACCAAGTGACTATCCTTCTCCTTTCTTGTAAATACCAACCATGCATTTGTACAGTGGGTCCTGTTTGTGTGAAGTCCATATCCATGGTCTCTTACACCTGCCACCTGTCCCTCCTGGCCCACCCTGAGTGGGGCAGATGCATGTGACTTGCCCCTGCCCTTGGTCTCCCAGAACCCTGCTATAGTCAGAGATCAATAAAGAAGGGAGACCATCTGTGGCTGTGTTTTGTGTTCACTGGCTGGAAGTCTATGCGTATCTTCACATACCACTGACTCTTTTAAGCTGGATAAAACCCTGGTGTGGTCAGTGTTCTCCCTGTTATATATATAGTGGATCAGCTTAGGCCCAGAGAGGTGAGGTCTCGCCTGAGGGCATACAATAGGGAGGGCAGATGTGGGATCTTAAACTGCTGAGGTCCTTTTTTTTTTTTCCTCCATCAAAATGCTTAAGTAAAGAGGGGAGAAACTCTCCTTCCTTCCTTCCCTATTTTTCCACTACCTGGAAAAATAAAAAGCAGTGGGCAGGAGAGGCCTGGCTAAGTGTCTGAGGAAGTTCCTTCACCTATGCTCAGTTCCTGTCTTTTACCCTGGCCCCTTGTGCCTAGGACAAGGGGGAGAGGTGACCTTCCCAGTTCCCAGCAGGGGCCTCTTAGTTAATAGCCACCATGATCTCAATACATCTTTGCTAACTGGTTGGAATAGGGGTGGTGGTCTCCTCACAAGCGGAGAGGAGAACACATCCTGAAGTCTGGGAATCACTGAAGCTTGGAGGGCGGACAAAGGCATCCCCCAAACATAACATCCCCTTTTCCCATGGGCTGTGCCAGGATGCAGTTCCCCTTTTTGTCCAGCAGATGGGGATCACTGCAAAGTCACAGTTGGACCAGCCTCACAGCTCGGTTTCACAGCTGCAGGGCAACCCTGCAGTTTACAGCCTTGCAGTGCGTCTGCAAGAAGGTGGTATCTTCTTCAAGAGGAAAAGAGAACCTGGGGTCCTTCTTTCTTTTTGGTACCGTGGAAGTTCTTCCACCTATCTGATTCCCATCTCCCTTCCTGCAGCAAATAAGGGCAGAGTTGGAGAAGAACCCTTTTCTCAAGTCTGTGCAGCCTCCCTATTTTCTCTCTTCCAGAGGCAGCTGGGCAGAAGGGCAGGGAGCTGTAGAGAGGGCAGGACAAGAAGGGAGGGAGAATCGTTTCTCCAAGTCAGGAAAGAAGGTAAATGCCAAGGACCTAACACCAAATTTATCACTTTTTAAAAACAAGAGATTCCCCCCCAAAAGTGGAGAAATAAGAAACAAATCCAGTGTCCACACACTCCCAACTGCAGTCTTGAATCTGGGATATCCCCTTCACTCTCAGACCTGTTGTGGGAAAGGAGACAGAAAGAGAGGGTGAGTGAGAGGCCAGAGGGCCTGTTGTCCCCTCCCTGCTGGTCTGCCCAACGAGCCTGTTAGTCAAGCATCTGACTTCTGTTGTCTGACACCAGTTCCTACCCCTTGTCCAGTCTACACGGGAGAGGGAAGATTGTAAAAAAGCTCATAGGGTGATTTTATCAATGCTTCTACTCCTGGCAGGACCACAGCTCACTGTGCCTGGACAGGTGAGGATTCCTGTGGGTTACAAATGCCCTTTACCAGAAAACCCCTGTTCTATTTCTATCACCTATTCCAGGAGCCAGAAAGCCCTAACACATAATCTAATCTCAGTCTCTCCCACTGCAGCTTCTCTGTTTTACATCCTCTTGCCACAGAGAATAGCTCTTCAGTGACCAAGGCTGGTACTTTGTACCCCTTTCCCTGACTCCAGATCTTAGCCCTTGCCTTTATCCACACAGCCTGCTGCTCTCTGGCAGACCTGCCGTGCAGCCCTGGTGGCTTACCGAGCTGGCTCCCTGGGAGTCCAATGGTGGTGGTATGTGGGTCGAGGGCTCCTCTGTGCTGGGATTCTCACTGTCCCTCTTCTGAATTTTTGGGGTGGATTCTGCAGGCTCTAAGGAGGGAAAATGGGGATGGGTGGGAGGAAGAGGGGCTTGTAGAGAGGACAGTGCGTCTGCTTACCCCATCCCATACTCCAACAACCCCTGAGAGGAGCCAAGACCAAGCTGGGGCAATCGGACAAGACCAACAGGGTTTTCTCTGATCACAATTCCTACTCTGTGTTTTTATATTTATCTGTAATCAGAAATAGAAAAAAACCCTCAAAATTTGGGTACAATCTCAACATGTGGCTAAATCTAACCTGAACCTATAGGAAGCGATTTATAGTATATTTATCCCACTTAGTGGGACAATTCATTTCACTGTAGAAATATTAATGTGTTTGATTACAGGGTGCTCTGCCGGGAGCATGATGTAATATACATTATACATACTGTATCATCTTTATAAAACTGGAAAAATTCTGACTTCTGGAATAATTAGGATAAGGGACTATGAATGTGTATTAACCCAGCAGTTTTCATTTATTACCTGCTTTGTATGTGTCAGCTACTGCGCAGTCTCATTTAATTTTCACAAACAACCCAGTTAAATAGGCACTGTCATTATCATTTTATAGAGTGAGGTTCGATAAGTTGCTCAAGGCCTCTGGGCTGGGAAAGGGGCAGAGTGCTGCTTCCAGCCTGCGAGCGCTGTTCCCGTCAGGATGGGCTGCCCCCTACAGCCACAACAGGGGGCTCTGAAGTCTGGGAGGGGTTGGGGTCATTCAGTAAGGAAAGGTGAAGAGATGCAAATATATGCATCCATGCAGATATGTCCATATTTTGAAGACAGTTCCTGGCTACTACTAAACCCCTCTTCACAACTGTAAGGCTTGCCTTCTCCTGGGCTGATCCCTCCCAGCCTGCACGTACTTCGTGCTTTCTCAGAGGTGCCCAGCCTGGACTCCGCTTCTGTGTCTGTGATCCCAGATGGGCAGGTCTCCTGGGTCCCTGTGCTCTCAGCGGCTCCCTCAGGCTCCTCTTCCTGCTGCTGTTGCCCCAGGTGATGTTCAACCATCATCTGGAGCTCTGGGGGTACAGAGAAAGGGAGGGAACAGTGGACACGGTTGCCTAGAGCCTCCTCTGTGGACCCTCAACTTCCACAGGCCCAGCAAATGGCCATCACACTCTGCCAGTGTGGTTTGACTTTCCCATCCCCTGGGACCTGAACAACAAGGAGGGACACTTGCTAGGCAATTAGGAGGGACTAAAGCTAGACAATAAAACATATTTTCTTCAAAGGTAAAAAAATGGTGTAGGGAAGAGCCTTTCAGAACAAAAGATCATCCCAACTTGCTGGGATACTTGGTCTCCCTTGGGGGCAGGAGAAAAGACTCAAGTTAGAGTCAAGAAATATTTGAAATCAAAACATCATGGTGCTGGGCATAAAAGCAGACACACAGACCAATGAAACAAAATAGCCCAGAAATTAACCCACATCTATATGACCAAATAATATGATAAAGGAGGCAAGAACATACAGTGGGGAAATACAGTTTATTTAACAAATGGTGTTGGGAAAACTACAAACATATGCAAAGTAAAAGGACACTAGACCATCTTCTCACACCACACACAAGAATAAACTCAAAATGGACTTCAGACTTAAATGTAAGACCCAAAACCATAAAACTAGAAGACAACAAAGGCAGTAACTCTCTGACATTGCTCTTAGTAATATATATTTTTTCCAATAATATCTCCTGGGGCAAGAGAAATAAAAAAATAAACAAATGGGACTACATCAAACTAAAAACTTTTTGCACAGCAAAGGAAAACACCAACAGAACGAAAAGACAACCTACTGGATAGAGGAAGATAGTCACCAGTAATACATCCAATAAAGGGCTAATATCCAAAATTTATAAAGAGCTCATATGGCTAAACCCCCACCCCCAAACAATCCAATTAAGAAATGGGCAGAGAACCTGAATAGACACTTCTCCAAAGAGGACATGTAGATAGCCAGTAGACATACGAAAAGATGCTCAATGTCACTAATCATCAGAGAAATGTAAATTAAAACCACAATAAGGTATCATTTCACACCTGTCAGAATGGCTATCATCAATAAATCAACAGTGAGTGTTGGCAAGGATGTGGATAAAAGGAAACCTTTGTGCACTGTTGGTGGGAAGAAAGATTGGTGTCGCCACTGTGGAAAATGGTATGGAAGGTCCTCAAAAAATTAAAAATGAAACTGGCTTATGAGCCAGAAATTTCATTTCTGGCTATTTATTTGAAGAAACCCAAAACACTAATTTGAAAAGATACATGTACCCCTTTGTTCAACTTGCTGCATTGCTTACAATAGCCAAGATATGGAAGTAACTTAAGTGCCCAGCAGTAGATGGTTGGATAAAGAAAATGTGGTACAAACACACAATAGAATATTGCTGGGCCATACAAAAGAATGAAATCTTAGCATTTGTGACAACATGGAAGGACCTAAAGGTCCTTGCTAAGTGAAACAAGTCAGACAGATAAAGACAAATACACCACGATTTCACTTATATGCAGAATCTAAAGAACAAAATAAACAAAATAGAAACAGACTTACAGAAAACACACTGATGGTGGCCAGATAAGAGGGGGTTGGGGGGATGGGTGAAGAAGGTGAAGGGATCAAGAAGTTCAAGTTGGTAGTTACAAAATAGTCACGAGGATGTAAAGTACAGTATAGGGAATATAGTCAATAATATTGTGATGACTATGCATGGTGCCAGGGGGTACTGGACTTATTGAGGAGGTCACTTTGTAAATTATATAAATGTTTAACCACTATGATGCACACCTGAAACCAATATAAAATAATACTGCATGTCAACTGTAATTGCAAAGAAATTTTGAATAGTTTTTACATGCTATGCACTATAATGGGTGAGTTCATATATGTTCTTTAACTTAACTGCTATCGTGGGGTAGTGTTTGGGGCTCCATAGATTAAGCAGGCCCTGCAAGGCCGCCCAAGTAGTTGGGAGGCAGAGCTGGAATCCAGCTCCAGTTTGTCCAGCAACGACCCCACTATAATACAGACAGAAAACGACTTCCCTACGGTTCCTTCCACAGGGGTCATTAGGTCAAATGCTCAACCTCAAGCATAGAGGGGAAGAGATGCGAAGGGTCTTCCAAACCTTTCATTGTAGGAGTGGTCCTTGTCACCTTCTTCCGTTGCCGTGGAGACATGGCCAAAGTGGACTGGGAAGAAGAAGACATAGGTGGGTGCCAGTCCTCTCACCTGCCTCCCTCCTCTGCCTTGCCGTGCTTTTGGATTGCAGTTGGGGGTAGGCGTGGACTTTGGAAAGTAGGGGAAGAAAATTCCTGCTTCTCCGACCCCCCCCTACAATGGTCATCAAAGAGACTGAGTGTGGGGTATGTTGGGGGAAATGTGTATGCATGTCCACTCATGCATGTTTGGGGGTGCAGGGAAAAGGGAGTCAAAGGCCCTGCAGATGGAGGGTTCTGAGGACCAATCCCCCAACAAATCTGTGAATTCCCTGGGCTGGGCTGAGTGGAGAGGCCAGCTCACCTTGAGTAGGGGGTTGGGGATCCGGTCTTCATCTATCTCTGAGGGGAACAAGGAAAGGAAAGTGATGAAGATAGGAAACCCAGGGGATCCCCACAGAACTGACTTCCAAGGGGAGGGGCCTCTGTAATCAGCTCCTTCCTGACCTGCACCTCACATCTGCCTCAAGGAAGTTGCCCCTGGTGGCTGCCCCAGACCTACTCTTTCCAGCTTCCTCCTGTTCTCCTGGCTGGCTTTACCCCTGCATCTAATTCTGTCCTTAGCTCTGCAGGTGTACCTGTGTCTACATCCTTGCCTCAGACCTGGAGGTTGCAGGATCTGTGGTCCCTTTGCACTTCCCTCTGAAGTATTTGTATCTCTTCCTCCTTCCATCCATTCCCCTATCCCCAGGTTGAGAACTGAACCCTGTAAGGAGGGAACATCGGAAAAACAATAGCAAATTTATCCTGTGCAGGGACCAGGAAGGCATAATCGTTTTCAGTAGTTTTGGGAAAGCTGGAGATGCAGGCATCTTGAACTCCCATCTAGCTTATTAGCATGATCACCTCACTTCCACTCTCCGGTCAAGCTACCCATGACATTCTCTGAGACCTTGGTCCTCCCCAGACCTGGATGGGGACATTGGTGACCAGAATGCCAGCTGCTCCCTGAGCTTTTTCTAACCTTTCCATCCCCCTCTGGGGGCTGTGAAGATAGCTGATGGAGGTGGTCCCTCCCTCACAGCTGTCGCTGCCTCTGGGGGTGGGGGCAGTAGCATCTGGGAGAAAGCTGGAGGGCTGCTGCGAAGCAACCAGCACTCACTGGACCACCCCAATTCCTGGGGGGCTTAAAAACCGGGTGGTCTCCCTCCCCTTCCCAGCACTGCTCCTCTTCCCAGAGCAAAGGAAATCCTCCTGCTCATGCAGCCACCACTTTTCTGCCTCCAGGGTTGAGAGATCTCTGACCTCTTAGGTCTGCACTTCTTCTACCCGGCCCACCTTCTCTCACCAGACCCAGCTGTCCTCAGCGGCCCCCGCTCCCCTCAGGGAGCCATCCCAAAGGTTACCTGGGGATGACTGGTCACTGGTCAGCACGAGGGTGGCAGGGGTGGGGCGACGCCTCCGAATCTGAGGAAAGAGGTCAAGTACATGTGGAATCATCAAAGCCCCACTACCACCACTCGGCAGTGCAATCCAGGTCAGCCTGTGACACTTCAAAAAATGTCATGTTACACCAAACTCCCTACCCCAGGGTGGACTTTCTTGGGCCCATCCCTCTCCACTGGGGACCCAAAAGCCCTCCCCCACTTTCTGCATCCCATTCCCCCTTTCCGTCCCTGCATCTCCCCCAGTCCTGGCCCCAGGTCTCCATCTCAACAGCGATATCTGCTCTAGCAAATCGATCTCTGGCCTGCTGTCCTTCCGTCCATCCTGGATCAATGGTCAGAAATAACCTGAGAGGGCACCAGGCTCTTCCCTCAGTCTCCCAGCCCACCCCCGAAACAGACATTAGCCGTTCGTGGGCAAGCACCTGCAGAGTATCCCTCCATCCTCCACCGGCCTGGGCAGTCTGCACAGAGACTGTAGGTCTGAATGTTCATTCCCTTGGCCTGTGCTCCTCACACTCTAATGTCCTTCCTAACCTTAGACACATTGCCTTTCTGATTCATCAGGAAATATGGTCGGTGGAAATCCTCGTCATTGTAAATGTAAATGAGCTGGAACCTGGTCAGGGCCTGAGGCTAAGCCGAAAAATCTTATCCTGGGTTCCGGCTCCCCTTCTAAGAAATTAACATATGAGAGCTACTTGCTGGGCTTCAGAATCCCTTTTCCTGTTGCTGTTCTTTTGTCATGCTGCCAATAAAGTTGATTGTTGTTGAAGTTGGTCCAAGGACTCTCGGGTCGTGTAGTTTTTGCTCTTTATTTGGAGAGTTTAGGGATTTGGAAGTGAGGGTAAAGGTGGGGTTCGAGTCTCAGCAGCTCCCTCCAGGGCAGCAGAAGGGAGGGAAGGCTAATGGGACTGGGAAAGGGGCTGCACTTATCCAGGGCGGAGAGGGGTAAGGGGAGATGCTGAATGATCAAATTCCTATCTGTGTGTATCCATTATTTAGTATCATTACCACAGGGGGTGAGGGTGGTAAGATGCCTGCCCTTCTCTATGCCCGGGAAATGAGTACCAGCCACAGCAAGAGGGAGAGTCAGTCAGAGGAGGATTCTCCGCAAAGGAGAATGGGTTGCCTAGGATGGGGGTTTGTTGCGATAGGGCAATGTTTTCCCAGGAGAACCCAGTGGCATCTGGTCTGGGTAGTATATTAAGGTCCCTGGCACTAACAGTCCTGTGTATGTGTGCACATGCACACGCACGCACTGCACAAACTCTAGCTGTGTCTGTCTCTGGCTATTCCTGGTGCAAATGTGCCGGGCATGTGTGCTTGCTCCAGGTGTGTGGGTGGGGGCCATCCTCCTCCTAAGAGGGAACTCCTCTTTTCTGTTTCTTTCCTCCCCTGGGGGTGGGGGCTGACTGGGAGAGACAGCGAGAGGGTGGGGTACAGATTAGTGGGAGTTGGGAGTCTGAGGAGACTCCAAGTGTGACAGAAAGAGCCTTTGAAAGGACAACAGGGCTCTGTGATCTTGCCCAGGTCCCTTCCTTAGCCAATCTCCTAGGCTTGGACAAGATTTACAAGCACTCAGTGTCCTTGAGAATTATGAGAGAACAAAGTAAGACTTCCTGAAGCACTGCCCAGGCACCTGAACCATTAGGAAATGAGTAGATGCTCTCTTTTCTTTCTTGCATTTACCCCAAGTCCTAGCTCTCAAGGACACCTGGTGCCTTTGCCTCTGATTTATTTACAGACCAATCATGCCAAGGACCAGGTAGTTGTGACCCCTCCCCTCCCTTGACACTCCGTGCTCCCCAGATCAGATCTCCTGACTGGTTTTTGCCCTCTCATGTCAGTCTGCGTTATTAGCTCCCGCCAAACCTGGAGCTTTTTGCCTGCACACTTGGGAAACACAGCAGGAGGGGCTGAGGTTAGACTGCAGGTAAAATTTCAGGCTTGGTAGATGGATTTCTGAAGATTAGAGAAAAGCAGGCTCAAGTCCCAGCTCTCTTTGCCGCTCTGGCTCCTTAGCACTGCCTCACCCCTCTCCTCTGCCCCCAGACCCCAAACCAGCTGCCCTCCCCCAACACACACCTACACCTGCCTCCTCTAACACCAAACAGATGCAGGTGTCAGGTAGTGAGACCTGTTTGTGCCAATGGAAGGCAGTTCTGCTTGAAACCTCATCCCTAAGCCCCACAGCCCACACTCTTGGGCCATTTTCCTGGGTCTGAGGTGACCTTTGCTAGTAGTCCCCTGCCTGCAGGCATAGCAGCCTTTCTCCTGAGCCCAGGGACCACTCCCCATGCTCCTTATTCTCCACTCTCCTCATCCTTAGGGGCTCTGAAGTCTCACCACGATCTTCCCACCGTTCCACTTCGGAGGTCAGGAGATGAGGTTCCCCCAGGCCAGGAAGAGGATGGAGAGGCAGGTACCTAACCCCTACCCACACGGGAAGCTGAAGTTACAGGGAGAGTGTGCACCTTCCCTTTCTGTTCCCAACCAGACCTTTTTCTACCAAACAGTTGGAGCAACAGAAAGAACATTGTCAGCCCATCCCGAGAGGCCACAGTGTTTTTTCAGGTGGGGAGGCTCAGCGGAGCCCTGGCAGCCAGTTGGGGGGGGGGGGAGTAAAACACTGACCTTGTGGGAATGGATATTCTTTAGGAAGAGGGATAACTAGGCAAAGGGACATAGAACACAAAGGAGATGGGGAAACCAGCAAATTTTTGGCAAACAGGCTGTGGTAGTGACCAAGGTGGTCACCTTCTCCACTCACGCTCACTCTCCCTGAGACACACACTTGCTCACACTCTCACACGAGGCTGCCGCCTCTGCCAGGCTGCTGTGAGCTAAAAATAGTCCAGGCCAGGAGGCTGTGCCCTGGCCCTGGACTCCCACCCCTTGAGCCAAGGCCAGCACAGGGTTTCTCCCCTGCCGATTGCTCAACTTGAATCCCAGGCCCTTACAGCCCCTGCCTGTGCCTCCCCAATGCCATCCTCTTTATGCCACCCCCACTCCCTGCTCCAAAAGGCAGTAGTTGGGAAAAAGGACCCACGTGTCCAGACTTGCAGAGAGGGGAGCCTCAGCCTGCAGACTAGCTGGACCACCTCCCCTCCCAAAGCCCCAGCCCTCGCAGTGTTCCCCAGCCCCTGCTTGTCCTCACTCTCTGGGATCCAGCAGGGTCGTCCCTGGTTAGGAGAGGCCCAGGAGGGCGATTTCTCTTCTTTCCACTGTTACTGCACCAGGCTCCCTCCATTTCCTACCCTCTTCGCTCACCCCTCCCGCGCTGCTGCGAGTACCCTTTAGCTCCCCCTCCGAGCGCCGAAACTCCGGCGGGGATGGCTGGGCGGAGGGCGCCGGAGGGGCGGAGGAGGGAGGGGTCGTGTCCTTAGGCAGCCCCCTCCCCCGGGGCTGGGGAGGCAGGGAGCGACTCTCGCGGGGACAAGCTTCGAGTGGAGGCGCTGGTCCTTCCGTCGGTCTCGAAGAAGCACAGACAGGGACAAGAGGCTCCACAGTGGGGGAGGGAATGGCAGCCCCCCAAACTGGGCGCGTCCGCCTCCAGTGGCGCACTGCTAGGGGAGGACCGAGCGGGGATCTCGGATCCCACAGTCCCGGGATCCCTCGTCCGGGGCTGGGCAAGTCCCCCGGCGCCCCGCCCTGCTCCGCACCTGCTCCGCCGCCTCCGGGTCAAGGTGCGGCTCTAGCAGCGGGACCGTGAACTGGATCTTCCGGGGGCTGCTGTCCGGCTCCATAGCTGGGCGGCGGCCGCTGGCCCGCGCTGCAGCGGCGGGAAGGCGGCGGGACTCGGGGCTGGGGCGGCCGCGCCGCTGCTCCGCTCCGCTCCCTTCGGTCCCCGGCCCCAGCCCCGCGCGCTGAGCTCGCGGCTCACGGCTCCGCGCTCCCAGCTCGCGGCCCCCGGGACTCTGCGGCCGCCTATTGGCTCCCCACCCGCCCCTCAGGCCCCCCTCCTTCCCGGAGCCCTGAGCCTTAACCCCGTCGTGGCTGCGCCGCCGGCTGCCGGGGTCCCCACCCGCCGGGCGGGCGATCAGGGTGTGGCCGGTGCCCGTCGCGGGGGACAGCCCGGCGGGCAGGCAGATGGCCTCGGAGTCCTGGGCAGGGAGGGGCGTGGGGGGCGGCCACCAAGAACTTCTCCAAGCCCGGAAAGGTCTTAGGGGCCGCGAGTGTGGAGGGGCATTTCGAGAAGGGAGACAACAAACGCGAAAGGAAGATTTCATTTATGATATTAAAGGGGGTTGTCTCATAAAGAAAAGAAGGGAAGGGGATTCAGGCATGCAGCAGGAAGGATTAAGGCTAGACAGGGAGAAGGACTTTTTCCTTGAGGAGAACACACCAGAGCGGAGACGGCAACTTGGAGGGGAGCGGTGAGGTCGGGGCACCAGAGCGGTGCTCCCTGGGCGGCGGGGAGGCAACTGAAGGCCTGAGAGGGGGCCTCTGAGGCCAGAGCTTCTTAAAGTGCCGCCGGCGGTGGGCGGAGGACTCAGAGGCAGAGGACCATCTGGGACTCGGCAGAAGGCATAATGGGGATGGCGAGCCAATAATGCTTGTGAAATAGATTTCTTTTTCTGCTTGCTAAATTATGGGATGGGAAAGCAGGTGAAAGGCCTGCAAGAAGAGGATGCTGGGGGACGAAGAGAAAAACTCCTTTGCTGGGGCGGCTTGTTTTTACAGATGGCCTGGGTTTCCAACGTCGCTACTGGTAGAATAATGACATGATCTACTGTGACCGAAGGAATGGAAGTTAGACTGTGAGAAGAACTTACTACTTTGGTGTAGGACCAAGATGTCAATCAGTGCTATAGAGCAAAGGAGATGGAATATTCATGGGAGCTGTTGGCACAATGGCAGGGGCTGGGAGGGCTACGGGATAGGTGGAGAGGTGCTGGGGCCCTGGGGAGGGGCAGGCTGGACATTCTAGGGCAAAGAGGACTGGGGATGGAGGGGACAAGGGACCGGGAGTTCTGAGGGAGGGGCCCAGTAGGGACCAGGGCCAGAAATCTGTTTCTTTTGCTTTAAACTGAGCACCTGGAAAGTTCCATACAGCTCAATGCCTGCTTCTCTGGGGACCCTATGGCCATCCTCTCCTGTAAAGGGTCAGCCTCAACTCTCAGTTGCCTCCTCTCCCAGGCAGCCCTTCTTTGGCCTGGATTTCACATGGTCTCTTCCCCTATTACCTCCCAAAATAACCTCCTCTGCTCTGCCCCCACCAGCTGTATCACTTTACACATGCCAGGCCCGTCTCAGTTTTCTCAGGGCAGTGCTGGGACCCACGGGCCAGCCAGACCTCCGTTTGCTGTAAACTGGACCTGTTCGGCTGTCATTAGGACCCCAGGGCCCCCTACAGCCAGGCTATATTTGCAGGGTTCCCTTGCTCTCTCTTTGATGTGGCAGGGCCAGCCTGGGAAACAGCTGATCGGAGTTCATAGCCCCTGTTCAGGTCATTTGCTATCCACCCCCTAGACGTGATAGCAAAGGAGAGGGTGTGAGCGCCAGATGCCAAGAGAAGGATGGGGTGGGGGATACGAGGGCCCAACAGGGCCCAGGTGTTTGCTCCGGCTCCCCCACTCCCCCACCTCCTAAACACACATACACAGAGCAAGGTCCAAAGTGCCCTTTAAATAGCTGACTTGTCTCTCCCCCACCCTTTTCCATCAGGACCCTGGAACTTGAAGCTAGAATTCCCAGGCCCCTATCTCTGGGGCCTCAGATGCTCCTTACTGAGCCTCGATTACCCCATCTGTGTGATGGGCAGAAGAGTCCCTCCCTGAAGGGGTTGAGTATCGTATGAGGTCAAGTATCTGGCACAAAGAGCCCTCAGTGGATGGATAAGTACTGTTTTCCTTGTCTTGTTATCTCCTCAAAGGACAGCAGAGTTAGGAGAATGACCTTACCAGTCTCTTAAGACCTTCTACCTCCACCCCCTCACCCCACCAGTCAACCAGTTTGCCTATGCTGCTTTCATAGTCCCCCTTTTCCTCTCAAATTCCATCTGGTCATGGAAATTCCTCCCAAAGTCTCACACCACTCTTCATGCTGCTTTCTCAAGCCCCGGAGTCTCAGACCCTTTGACCCAAAAGCTGTAGGTCAGAAGAGAGGTCCAGATTGCTCAGGCCTTGGAGAAATGGCTGACAGGGGTCTTCGTGGAAAGAGGGGTCCTGGGAGCAGCTGGTGCGGAGGTGGAAGCAGAGGAGGTGAGAGCAGGGAGAGGGAGGAGAGACAGCTCCTGGTGCTGGCTTCTGGAGGAGGCTGGGGGTGGGTGGCGAAGTGTTTATGGGTAGCAGGGAGGTGGCGTTGGACTGACTTGCAGCCTTTGCTGCCGGGGTCTCCATGTGAGCTGTCATGTGAAGGTGTGAGGGTGACGTTTTGACTTTCTTTTTATGCCCAGAGCTGGGTGAGTGATTGAGCATCTGTTGGGCTTGTGGGTGGAAAAAGGTGTGGGTGGCTCACTGACAGGGCTGCGGGGTGGCGGAGCCATTCCTAGACCGAGTGAGAATTGGAGCCCACTGGCCCCAGATCCCTCCTGGAGCTTGCATGTGTGTGCAAGGTGTGCTCATGAGTGCAAGGAGAGTCACAGCCCTTGCCGGAGGAGCAGTAGCTGTTCCGATGGCACACTTCTGGGTCGATGAAATATTTAAGGTTACAGAAATGTGACTTAGTGATGGACTCACTTAAGGGCTCCCACCTGCCCCCACTCTCGGAGCTGGACTCTGGGTTCATAGGCTGCTCTTTGTTGCTCTCAGCACTTTCCGCTTTTATTTATCTATCCTCTTCACCCCCCATGAACCTTCTCATACCTTCTCTTGCATTATCACTAATCTTTACAACCCACCAGGAAGGAGGGCAGGTGGTATGATCTTTATTTTCCTTTTCCAGGGCAGAGTCCTGATGCTGGGATTTGGGAGGCCAGAGTTCAATTTCTCCCTCTGCTACTGACTCTCTGGGCCCCTCTGAGGTAATCACTTCCTCTCATCCCCTCTCATCCCTCTCATCAGTGTGTGTGAGCCACACACACTGGTCTCGGTTTCCTCATCTGTAAAAAGAGGGGAGCAGGTGACTGCATAGGTTTCTTTCTATTCTAATATATTGTCATTCCGAGGTGGGGTGCTCCAGCCACATAGGCAGGAAGTCTGAGGACCCCAGGGTACTGGGCCCTTCCCTCTACCTTTGCATTTCTGCCTGTCTGACCCGCGTGGCAGAGGTCAACTCTGCTTGTTGACGACAACATGCATGCACACTTTTCTACATACACAGCTCCAAGGAGGTGAGGCTGAGGAGGAGCGGTGGCCCGTCCACGAGGTCCCCCTGGGGAGCCATGTGCTCCTGCCCGTTGGCTGCAGTGTACCCAACATTCCTGGAGACTCTCTTGGAGTCATCACAGAGCTTGTGGCATTTGCTCTGAGAGCCCTCATGGGGAAGTGAAACTTCGTCCTTCAGAGTGGCCTGGTTCTTCTGTCAGTGAGTGAGAGTCGGTAGGAGGCGTGCTGAGTGAAGAAGGAAGGAGGCCAGGTGAGGAGTGGAACTTGATCTGGAACACAGGTGTGGGAGGTGTGGGTACCCTGCAGTAAGGGTCTGTGTCCCCTGGGGCTCTAAAGCCCATCTGGAAGTTCTCTCTGCAAGAGAGGTTTCCAGAGCAACTTGTGAGCCCCAGCAGCACTGGGGCTAGAGTTAGAGTTAGAGTTAGAGTTAGAGTTAGAGTTAGAATAGATGTGTCGCCTCTCAGGGGCTGACTTGGAAGGCCCAGCCTCCTCCAACTGTGTACGGCCTGGTTTGCCTGTGAAAAAGCCCATCGTGGCAATCCTGCCAGGCTTGGGTGCATACCCCGCTGCATCTGGCACTCTCGGGAATGGGTCCAGAGCTGGTGATTCAAACAAGGGGGATGCTCATTTCCAAAGTGCTTCGCCTCTGTTTGAACCATAAACTGGTAGAGGTGGAAGAGACGTAAAACTCAGCCAATCCACTCCCTTCAGGAGGGGAAACTGAACGGAAGAGAGAGAAAGCAGCTCTCCCAAGGATTAGAACTTATGTTAACACTTTCCCACCCGATTTGATGGCTAAGGCAGAGGCAATGGCTGAACTGAAGCAAGGCTCAGACCAGATGACCTCTTGAGATGCATTTTTAATCCTATGATCATCACTGGTCTAGGACACCCAGTCCCTTAGCAGCCTCTAGCTAGCTGCTTCCCCCTCCAAGCCTTTAAGAGGTTGAATTTCCTCTTCCGACCAGTACTTATGGGGCAGTCACATGTGCCAGGCATTAGCTTAAGCACTGGAGATACAGTGGAACACAAAACAGGTCCAGAACAGTCTCTGTCCACAAGCATCTTATAGTCTCGCAGAGGTCAGTGTGGAATGGGACAGTGAAGTAATGACAAATGATGACTAAGTAATCATAAATTATTAAAAAAGTAGAAGTACTGCAAGAATGAGGCACATTAAAGAAGAAGGAAGGAAGGACCTCAGACAGGTCAGATGCACACTGCCCCCTCATCCGGCTCCTCCCGGGAGCGTGATTACACACCCAGCCTCTGGAATGACCTGCCTGGGTTCAAATCCCAACTGAGTAACTGAGTAGCTATGTGACCGTGGGGATGTCACTTAACCTCTCTGAGCCTCAGTTTCCTCACCTGTAAATGACAGGCATATCTATTATTATAGTGAGGGGTGGGATGAGGTAATGTCCAGAAAGAACCTAGCTCAGTGCCTAACACCCATTAAATGCTTGAAAAACGGACATTAGTAGGGTGGAATCCATCTTAGCGAAGGTTTCTTTTGACTCTGGAAAAATCAGGGATGAAGAAATGGGGACTTCAAAGCTTTCAGAATTGGAGGCAGACACCCCTTCCCCTTCTCAGCCAGACTCTGCTCCTCCCCACCCTTGTCTGAGCAGCTGTTCTCGATG